TGAATGACCAGTTCTATAAAACTCATGGGCCTGGGATTGAGAAGCCAGGATGCAGAGCAATAAGGGGGAAGTGGAGCAGTTACTTGCAAGATCAAGGCTAACCTGAAAGTGTATAAAGTAACATATTATTGGCTACACATTAGAATCTCTTGGAGGGATTTGAAAAATACTGATGCCTGGGTCTCACCCCGAGTCTTATTTAACTGCTCTGGGATACAGCCTGGACTTTAAGATATCGAGGTTCCTCATGTAACCCTAATAAGCAGAGAACTACATTTTTTGTTGGATGGGTGACAGATGATAGATGGGTGGGTGGATGATGAGATGGATGTGGTGTGTAGATGTATGAATAAATGAATGGTTGAAGGAATTGGGAATAGAGTCGTGGCTTGACGTGTTTTCATGATCTGGTATCTGCTTGTCTCCAGACACATTCTCTCTCATCATACCCCAGCTCCTTGCACTCCATAAATCCAGCCATACTGAATTTCAATCAGTTTTTCTAATGTGGTGACTCTCTTGCAACTCTGGGCCCTTATCTTCCCTGTTCTCATTGATTAGAATGTGTTGCCTTTTTCTGTTTGCCAGGCTAACTCTTACTCAGATGTCAGGCCTCTACATAAAATTTCAAACCCTTTAATAAGCACACCCTGGAAAACTTCCTGGACTTAATTTAATCCTGGAAGACTTCCTGAACTCCTCTAGACCCTAGTTTAGATCCTGCCATCGATGTTCCTGTGGCCTCTTGTCCTTTCTCATCGGAGCACCTACCATTTGGAATTGCCAGCTGTGCTCAGAGGAGAGGACAAGGAAAAACCTGTGTGCCACTCATTGATGGCTCAATAAAAATATCACAAGGCCAAAGAGTGGCCTCATTTTTAATGGCTGGGATGTGCCATAAATGGATTTAACCAGTCTATTATTGGCACTCGTTGATAGACTTCCAAGATTTGTTATTTCAACACTGCTAAAATGGATGTGATACACATGCACATCTTGTAGGTGTATCTGTGGGCCAAATCCTAGTATGTGGAATTGTTGTGTTGTGGGTATGCATAGTTATATTTTGATAGGTAGTGCCAAACTGATCTCCACAGAGGTTATAATTCAAACTAAAATAGATTTATTAAAGCTCTGTTGAAAAGCTAACCCATCTATTTCCCTATGACAGAATGTTGTATTTATTGCCCTTCATTTTTCTCTCTGCCTTTATTCACTGGCCTGATAGCCAATCTGTGAAATGGAAACAGTTATAACTTGTTACATTTATGGGAGGCCGTTGTTTCGGACTGAACTCTTGCTTCAGGCCCCAGCAAACCGGAGTGCAGTCACTTGTGCTAGGTGCCACATAATCAAACTGCACTTTAAAATGAGCCTGTTTTCCCAAAAATGGGAGATTCACATCAACCAATCAGAAGGGACCCAGTCTATCTGAGCCAGCATGATAAGGAGGTCCCCACTGTTTTAATTCTATAAGGAAAGCAGCTTTGTAATGACCAGTTTGCTTTTTGTTCCTTGTTTTTGCTTTCATCAGTCTTTTCTGCCTATGAAGGCTATCTCTTCTGCGTAGCTCACTGGAGCACCTTTCTAAATCTTGAGATAAGCTGTTTCTGATTTAGGAAGGACTAAAAAAGCCAACCATACCCTTTTTTAAAAATTCTTTTTGAATGATTAGTAATCCATTTTTATACTTATTTCTGTCCTCACAATGTGTTCCCACCAATTATACCTTTAAACTAAACTTGCTGAGATTTTGTTTTTGGGCAAATTCCAGAGTTGTTTTGAGGATTTATGCAGAGTGTTTGACAATGATCATCTCTTCCCCACTTCAGAGGTTTCTGAGGACTCTGCTTGGCTGTCTGTAGCAGGTAAATGACAGGATCTGACAGCAGCAGCAAAGTGCCCATGCTATAGAATGGCTTCCACACTGAGGCAACACCTTCGTAAGCATATATGGTTCTGAGCTGAGGGAGAGATGTCTTCCTAACACTTCTGTTTGAATGCTTTATATTGTTAAATGCTAATCAATTAAGAATTTCATTTAGGCAAAATAAAAAAGAAGAAAGCAGTCATTTTTTTTGTAATAAAAATATTGACATCACCAATGAAGTAGAAAATGACTTTGTTTCTCAATCACTAGTTAGTCAAAGAGCAAATGACATAATAAATTTAAAAACAGCCTATTGAATGGTCTTATACTATGATTGCAATGACTCTTAACCTCTTCCTTGTTATCAAACCATGCCACCTCCCCTCCTTTTTTTGAAACGAGGTCTCACTCTGTCACCCAGGCTAGAGTGCAGTGGCACGATCATAGCTCATTGCAGCCTCAACCTGCAATGGCCTCAGGACAAGTGATCAGTGAAGAGGCTCAAGTGATCCTCCGACTTCAGCCTCCTGAGTTGCTCGGACCACAGGTGTGTGGTGTGCTACCACCCCCAGCTAAGTTTTTTTTTGTAGAGACAAGGTCTTGCTATATTGTCCAGCTTATTTCCAACTCCTGAGCTCAAGTGATCCTCCCACCTTGGCCTCTAAAAGTGCTGGGATTACAGGCATGAGCCACTGCACTCAGACACATCCCTTGTTTTTTTTTTTACTCATTAGATTAACTCTCTTAGTTCCCCATGTAGAGGCAGAGACTATTACCAGTGACATTTCAAATCATTTCCTTTTTCAAATTATTTTCTGGATTATTTCTCTTTCTTTTAAGAAAGAGGAAAAGTAAAGTAAAAGACTGCCTAGCAGGCAGTCTGTGCTACCAGGCTGTCAGCATCAGGACTGAGGCTCTCACAGAGGTTCTGGAGCCGTTCCTGGGGCTTTCCCTGCTTTGGCCTCAGGACAAGTGATGAGTGAAGAGGATTCCAAGGAGCTGAGTCTACCCTTCCAGACTCCTTACATCCTTTCTGGGGGAAAAAAAAAAAAAAGGCTAGCTACCTTCAGATTCATATGAAAAGGACCTCTGTGCAAATGAAAAGACTAGTAGTTATCGAGAATAAGTATCATAATTTTACAATTAAAAATATTTCCTTAGCACTTTCTAAGGTCTTGAAACAAATTACTGCCGAAGTCTGTGCTTTAAAAAAATAGTGTAATCGTTTATGTGTTTAAGTTCCAGCCCTCGCAGTAAGCTATTTTTATATTGATTTTTATCTGTGCCAAAAATGGCGTTAACAGCAAGCAATGGGGGAGAGTATTATGTGTCTATGAAGTCCAAGCTCACCATTATTGTGTCTACACTTACAGCATGGATTTGCCCAGTGCTGCTGAAAGGATGCCCAAGGATGTCTTTCTCCTGAATGAAGTCTCAATGGCATGGCAATTTGGGAACCTAAAACAGAAAACCTCTTCCCAGGTGTGGGGGTGTTAGAACAGCAGAACAATGTGAAGAACTTTAAAACTCCTGATGCCCAGACTATATCCTAATTAGACCAACTGAATCAGAATCCATGGGGGTGGGAGATACCTCAGTGAGAAACTACTGTTAGGAGAAAAGATGCCTTCTCTGATTGTTTCCATTTCCCCCTTGTTCTGGGCTCTGTGGGCAGGAGAGAGGAAGAAATGAAAAAGAGGATGAAGTGGGGCCTATAAAACATCTTGGAGAATAACCACCACTACCACAGGAAGTGCAGGGACCCCCCCGCTCCCTCTAGTGGCGGGGTGTGGGAGGCAGCTGGAAATGCCTGGGCTGCCTGGGCAATATGTGTGTTAGGAAAGCTGTGTGTCTTCTCCAGGCTTCCTTTTTATAAAGTACGTATTCTATTTATGCATATTTATTTAAATTTTATTATGTCTACATACTTATTGTTTATAAATATATGCTTTCTGTAACTTTATATCATGTTTATTTCAAGGGTGTCCATTGTGGAGCTCTCTAACATGTTCTCAGTCTAGAGGAGGCAGGTGAAGGTGAAGGCTACACTAGTGACCCCAGGTGCTGTTCCCTGGGTGGGGCCTGATGCCTTATTCTGAAAATGTGGGGCACAGTGGCCTGGCTTGCAGGGCAGATCTGACCTCGAATGGACTGGTCCTCATCTCTTCAACACACACATATACACACTTCCCCAGGTCTAGTAGAACAAAGGTTATGCCTGCTCCTTGCTAAAATTTCAGCATTGATTCTGGTCATTTTTCCCATCAGACTTCAACTGTGATCCTTTTGTGTCTTTCTCGTTGTGTTTAAAGCCAACCACATGTATTTTGACATGTGGACCTTTTGTAAAGAAAGCTACCATATCCTTTATCCCTACTTGGGTAACATTTCCTGCTCTGGGATGCGGTGTCTGGTAGAGGGATGGTGAATTCTGTCCTGAGGCTGCTGTGCCATATTCTGCTTGTTTGATTGGGCTTCTGCAACCTCTACTAAGAAATACACATTGCAAAGCAAGGTGAAGGGCAATAGCCCTGAGCACTGCTTCTAGCAGGTGCGAAGAGAGATTCACAGCACCTGTCCCATGTGTCTTCTCACCCAGATACCAGTGGAGGCCCACACACCATATGTCTGGATACCTAAAAGTTTTACATCAAGCTAAAAGATGGATGAATTAATATGTTCTGTCTCCTACTTTTGTAAATATATCTGTGTAAAGATATGAGAGGCTAGGATCAGCTGCAGCCTTCCTGGACTTCTCAGAGTTCTCCCCAGAATGTGATGACCTGGGACAGCTAGGGATCCCCATTGGTAGCTCACCTGCCTTCTTTTCCCATTCCCTGGCTTTATCCAACCCCACAAGGAGCTTCCTGCACATAGGCACACTAGCTTACCTATCCAGGCCCTGTCCACATGAGCTTGTAAACAGCCTCCTTTTGGTGACCACAAGGGCCTAGGTGGACTTGTAATGGTAGCATGGTCTCCATTTGGAACATGGAGACCTAGAAGAGTCCTGTGCAGGTCTGGAGACATGTAAGCAAAGACTTACTGCATCCCACATTATCTGGAATGTGGTGAGAAGGGAAGAAATGGGCTCTGGATGGGCTTATTCCTTTTTCATCACTATACAAAGAAGGATTTTAAAAATATTTATTTTGGAATAATTTTAGATTTACAGAAAATTTGCACATATAAGCAACAGAGAGTTCCTGTATACCACTCACCCAATTTCTTGCATTGTTAACATCTTACATTACCATGGTACCTTTGTCAAATCTAAGAGCCCATTGTTGGTATGCAACTGTTAACTTAATTCAGACATCCTTCAGACTTCACCAATGTTCCTGTTGATGACCTGTTACTATTTTGGTGTCTGATCCAGGACACCACAATGCATTTAGTTTTCATGTCTCTCCATTTGCTTCTAGCCTCTGACAGTCTTCAGTCTTTCCTTGTTTTTCATGACCTTCATAGGCTTTAGGAATACTATCCAGTTATCCTGTAGGATGTCTCCTAATCTAGATTTGTCTGATTATTATTCTCATGAATAGACTGAGGTTATGGACTTATGGAAGGAACATTGCAGAGGTGAAGCGTCCTGTTTCCATCCACACAGTCTGCTATGCTTTCCTTTTCAGGCACAATGCTTCTCTGCAGAGTTCCAAACTCAAACGCCTTCAGAAGCCAGGTGAGTAATGTAACTAAAGTGAAGAAGTGGAAAAGAGTAGGATCAAATGACAGGAAGAAACAGAGGGCAATGGCAAACCTGAGAGTGCTTGCTCAATCGAAAGGCATGCAAATTCATGTTTTGTCTACAGTACTCTGCTGGTCAAATCAAACATTCTGTAGGTTGGCTCAAGCTGCTCTGCGGTGAACACTTGATGCCATACTCTTAAGCAGATAGGGTCATACAGGCAAGACTGAGGCTAGTCTTTCTGGGCTATACTAACCCTTTTCTCATGTCAGCAGCTTTTGTCCTAAATGTAGCTCCTTGGTAACATTTCCTTGGAAAGATCTGAAGAAAAGCTTTCAGTTGGAAGCCAAGAGCTCTGGATCCCAGCAGGTTACTCGCTTGTCAGCATCAATGTAGCTGACTAACCTTAGGCCTAGATGTTAGAATCCATTTTCTTATCAACCTCACACAGTTATAGTGCAACGTGAGTCATTTGTTACACTTCTACAAATGGGCTATTGAGGATTTTTATACATGCATTGATATATCAATCAGGATAGGCTGCGTTATGCAGCAGTAAAAAAACAACCCCCAGGTCTCAGTGGCTTAACATAACAAGTTTCGCTAGGATGAGCATACATTTTCAAATTGTGCCTGTTGTCCCTTTTACTCTCAAAATGGTCTAGTTTGCTCAATTATATTACATGTCCAGAGCAAGTCAGAAGAAGGATTTGGAGACTCAAGAGGCATCATTTTGACACATGCTTTCACCATCATTTGGCAGTGGGAAGGGGATGTAGCAATCTGCACATCAATTTGTAAGGCTTGCACTCACAAACATTAGCTGCAGCTAATCACATGGCCAAATCTAGCTTCCAAGGGGGAAGTCAAGTTTGATGTCTAGAAAATGAAAGCCAGAAATAATTTGTGAGTAACACTAATGACTGGATCACTTAGGATCAAATGTTTTATGTGAAACTCATCAAAACCATGATCGTTTTTGGCAACTATCAGTGAAGATGATGTCTATAAATACTTCAGCTGATTTCTTCAGCATGATGATTAATTTATCTGTCTACTTGACTGGGTTAAGGGATGCCCAGGGTGTTTCCAGAAAAGATTAGCATTTGAATCAGTGGACTAAATAAAGAAGCTCTGCCCTCACCAGTGTGAGTAGGCACCATCCAATAGTTGGAAGGCCTGAACAGAATAAAAAGGCAGAGGAAGAGTGAATTCATTCCCTTTGTTTGAGGTGGGACCTTCATTTTCTCCTATCCTCAGGCAACAGTGCTCCTGGTTCTCAGGCCTTCAGACTTGGGCTAAATCATACCATCAGCTTTTCCGGTTCTCCAGCTTGCTGATGGCATATCATAGGACCTCTTGGCCTCCATAACCATGCCAGCCAGTTTCCATAATGAATCCCTCTCATCTATCTCTCTCTGTCATCTAATGATCTATCTTTTAGTGCTTCTGTTTCTCTGGAGAACCCTGATTAATACAGTTGGGAACATTTATCGTGTTACCCTTACAGGCCATGTTTCCTATTCCCAACACATGCACTGGATGTTATGAAAAGGAGGCGCTCTGGGACTCCATCTCTTTGTGACTTTGAGTTTGCTTCTACTCATCTCTGCCCATATCTCACTCATGATACCATGCTGCTTTCAAATTTCTTCACCATAGTTTTTTCTATTTCTTCATCCATTCTTGCTTACTCTTGATTTTTAAGAGTGGTAAGGTATCTCACTCATACCCTTTCTCTCTGGCCATAACTTGTCAGATAGAAAAACATTTTTTTCAAATTTATCCCAGCCCTGGAAACTCCTGTTCTTTAAGATTTTTTCTCAATGCAGTATAGACAGTGTACCCAAGTCATTCTACAAAATATGTTTTCATAAACAAGGAGTAATAAAAATTGTTTTAATACACAGTTCATTCAGAAAACAAATGCAATATTTAGACCACAGGAAGTGTGAGTCCTGCTGCTGCCCTCTGCTTTAGTTGGGCCACATCTGGAGTCCTCTGGTTGGCTGAAGCCCCACACTTAAAAGGGGGCCTTTAGTGGATCAGGAGGGGAATGTCTAAGATAAAAGTATGTTGGAAATGTGATTTTAATGGGAATGGGAATATGTAGGAGGCTGGCAGTGTGTGCCAAAGTAAGTACAGTGCAAATGTGCTAGGAGTGAACACAGTCCCTGTTGTAGGGAATCCATGTGCCCCGCACATTGGGTGCCAGAATGCAGGGATCCATGAGCCCCACATTGGGCACCAGAATGTAGGGAGCCAGCCCTACATCACTCGTGGGTACCCCAAGTTCAGTGGCAACAAAGGAATGAGAAAAAGACAGATTAAGAGAGACAGTAGGACCGGGGGCCATCACTTTATTACTTTGGAGGAGGCAGTGAAGGCCCCAAGCTCTGATCATCCACTCTATTTATTGATTACAGTCACTTTGATCTATAGGGTAGGGTGGAGTGATGGTGGAGTGAATCTGAGAAGGAACTGGTGTGTCATCCTAAGGATTGATAACAGTGGTGGTTTGCGAGTTTCACAAAACAAGAACATGTGATTGTTTTTAGCTTATTATCTATGTACAGCTGGTGGAACATGGACCTTACAAGGAGCATAGAAGTCTGACTACCTCATAGTGCTATGAAGGGGTTTTACATCCTTGAGCACAATGTTTATGGTAACAGAGCTGAGGTCACCCTGCACCGGAACATGAGGCATGGAGAGGCCTTCCTCCTTAGAGGCCTCCTGCGGCCTTCTACAGTTTGTTTTTCCTTGTTTACATGTTACTCATAACGAATTTATATGGGCACTCTGTAAGTCCTTTCTCCTTTGCTGCTTCCCCCAACACCCTGTCACTAAATATTTGAAGTACCCGGTGGAGTGTTGTCTTGGTATAATACTCCAGGGTGGTGCCACAACTTCTATGGTTGTTACTTCCATTAATCTTAATTTCTGTTGTTTCTTTGGAGGATTTCTGATTTTATTCAATTGGTTCATTGTTCAATGTATAAAAAGAAAGGAAATTTTAAAAGGCCCTGGAAAATTTCCTTTATTACTAATTTTAGAAGCTGATGATGAATGGCTTTTGCAGAAAACTGGTATGAGTTATTTATTAAAAACACATCACACGACATGCACCTTGCCTGACAAGTCACCATAATTCTGACCCACAGGATATGATTTTCAAAACCTTGAGGAAGATTTTATAATGCTAATAAGAAAAGAAGAACTTAATCATTTCTGACCTCCAACATCTATGTTAATTGATGGTTATATCCTTTCACAGTTGCTTGGCGAGGCCAGCTTAGATATATTAATATACTCACAAGCATGGAAACTGGCCAAAGTAGCTAGGCAATGAATGTTATTACAAACATAGACATATATTTTCCTCAGTAGGGTTGTCCATTTCCTGCCATGGTTTATATGCCAAGTGTGTAAATAAAAGGACCACAGGATGACATAAAAAGGGTACCCTCTAGTGAAAAACCTTTCTAGGCAGTAATAAGCAATCTTACATACCTTGGTCTTCTAAACTTGGAAGCCAGTTTGTTTCTTAGAATCCTAAGAAACTATAAAATAAAACAAAATTTTAATGCCCTGTTAGAGGGATCAATACAAATCCATAAATAAGAAAATAAAACACCTTTACTTTGCACCTTAGCTATTTTCCTATCCAGTCAGTTCTTTTTTATCAGGCCTAGTGTCTGAAGCAAAATGAAATTGATTTATCTGACTTCTCAGCCTCAAAAGGTAATGTTACCAAGAAGTGAAATAGAGGAGTAGAGACATGGAGATAAATCATGAACTTTTAAGTCTAGCACTTCTGGCCATTGGATAGCTAAGAGTTGCCTGCAGCATAATACAAGTCAGTGCTCTAAGTCAATCAAATTCCCTTCTTCTCTTCATCTTCTGGCTTTTTTTCCCCCATGAAGTCTTCTTCTCCTCTGCCTATATATTGGATACTCCATGTTCTCATTGGCTCTTTTCTTTTTTCACACAGCATTTTCTTTTTTGGTAATGATATATATGCTTCCACAACTTCCACTGTCATCCCCAGGCACGTCATTCCCCCAAATCAATGCCTTCAATCAAAATGCTCTTTTGAGTTCCAGACCCATATTTCAAACAGTGTTCTGGCTAGCTCCATCGTCATTTGATGGACATCATGGTCTCACTGTCTAGGCAAGGGTGCCTGGCATCTAGGAATCCAAGCTAAATAGACATCATGAGCCTATGGCCAGTGTTCACAGAGCAGGTTCAAACCACACAGATCATTCAAATTGCTTACTATTTTGAAAGAGCCAGGCAGGGAAGGGAAATCTGAATGGACATAAGACTATGAGAAAAGCAGAATAAAAACAGATAAACATCAGAAGGCTTAAAGTGACTATGGGAGGCAAAGCTTATAGGGATTTACCATGTTGAAGAGAGTAGCTTCAAGGTTCCTGCTAGAGCATCTATGCTCTTGGAGGAAGAACTGCTCCTTTACTTCAGAGGGTTGATCACAGATGGAACACAAATCAAGATGGATCAATGAGATTTCTCCTAGGACTTTTAGACTTGGAATAAAGAAAGGACAAGAATAAATTCTCTAACAGCTGAATTCTATTGAATGCTCTACTAGAGAAATATAGGATAATCAGCAGGGAAAGAATAAAGAAGGATGAAGTTGCTTAGAATAAAAAATGAGTTCTTCGTAGTATTCAAGTTCTCGGTTTCCGTTGACTCTGAGACTCCACTGTATTACTGCCCTTTACAATACTTAATTTTTCCATGATGTAGCACCAACAATACCCTCCCCCAACCAAATGTTAGGTAAAGTTCATCCTTGAAATCAAAGGACTTTTAATGAAGACAGTCACCAAATCCCGCTGACACTCTTCAAATGAGTCACATGCTCCTGATTTCCCATTACTTCAGCTGAATAATGTGCCCCTGGGGGAACAAGGATGTCTTGCTTATTTTTATGCCCCTTCCAAGATAATGTAATGCCTGGTACAGAGAAGGTGCTAAGAAAGCAGGCATTGGGATGGTTTTCTTCTGCACTCTCCAGTGGCCTATTAATACTTACACAGCACAGCGACTCAGAGATCACCTTGATGTAGGAGCAAGACTGTGACCTTCAAGGCCTGGGCATGATCCTGTCTTCACCACCCAAAGCTTTCCATCTTCACATTTGATCGTCATTTTTCACTACTCCTTGTCCATGCTAAAATGATGAGGCTATTTCTTCTCAAACAACTCTGTGTTTCTCCCCAATAGACTGTTTTCTTAAACAGAGCAGTGAAAATAATTATCAGCCTAGAATGACAGCCTAACATATCCTTTCAGCCTGCATCTTGTAAGTATGAAGCAAACAGGAAGGGTAGACTAATATAGGCGGGCAGCTTCTTGGGAAAACTGTCAGAAAGACCTACATGTTATATCAAGGTCTTCTGTCAGCCCCCTGCCTTCTGTTGATCAGAAGGTTGGGTTCGTCCTGTGCTCTTCTCTGACACTCCCTCCTCTTCTATTTCATTCCAGTGCATTCAAGTCCAATTATTTGTTTTAGAAATGCTATCATTTGTTAGCTTAGCTTTTATCTCGGCTGGATGCCTTTCCTGTTTCACTGCTTTCCTTTCAAGGAAGCAGAGCCAACAGTTGACTGGGAGTTTTATTCAGCACACCCCTGTTGTTAGATGAAGCTGGAGAAACTTTGATTAACAAGCTTACTCAGGACTTCAGCCATGGCATAGGGTAGGTGTCTGCCACCTGTGTCTGGCATCCTCTGAAGCCTGAAGAAGAGATGAAGTGAGTGGAGCTTCTGTTTGGAATACCAGCCTGGTAAATAAACCGCAGCTGGTGGGGCCCGGAGGATGATTTGCTTCTGTCTGTGTGGAGCAACTGCCTTTATCTAGGTTGCTCTAAATGGTGTTGCTGGAGACATTATGAGAGCCCCAACATTTTTGTGGTGCTTAGGCCTGTTTTTGGTGATGCAGAGTCCATCTTCCCAGGTGATGTAGAATTCCTCACTGGGAATTCTGGGGACATGACAAATGAGGCAGAAACAAAAGAGAAGGCAGAAATACAGAGATGAGATGATGAGAAAGAAGTGCCTGCAAATAATTGGCAAAGAATTGAGCTGTGGGAAACTACAATTCAAGATGAGATTCGGGTGGGGACACAGCCAATCCATATCAAAATGCACAGAAAAAGACTCGAAGTACATACGCCTGATTGTATAATGAATTAAGTACCTAACAGTGGTTGCCTCTGAAAAGAAGTAATGGGAATTAGAAGAGTTTAAAAAGAACTGTCATGGTTTACTTGAAAATAGTTACATTTTCTTTGGAGTAACAAACTTGAACCAAAGGATTTTAAATGTATTAACAAAAATATCATTACATTGTAATTATTTCCTTATATTAGTCATTTGAACATAATGCTGTACAATCACAGTTTTCTTAGCCACTGTATTAAATGGGGTTCTTTTTTTAAGACAGAGTTTTGCTCTGTCACCCAGGCTGGAGTGCAGTGGTATGATCTCAGTTCATTGCAACCTCTGCCTCCTGGGTTCAAGTGATTCTCCTGTCTCAGACTCCTGAGTAGCTGGGATTACAGGAACGCACCACCATGCCTGGATAATTTTTGTATTTTTTAGTAGAGATGGGGTTTTGCTATGTTGGCCAGGCTGGTCTCAAATGCCTAGCCTCAAGTGATCCACTCACCTCACCCTCCCCAAATGCTGGGATTACAGGGGTTTTAATTATTGAGGTTAGCACATAACTGTGAATAAAAATAGGTTTTAGAGACATAAGCAGATTCTATTTCATAAATATACTTCTTTAATTTGTTGAGGGTGACTGCAAAAGTGAGAAACGTGTAGTGAACTGCCTTGTCTGCCTCTGGAAAGTGCAGTTGTGTCAGATGAAATAAGAGATGTGTGATGTGAGGCCAATGTGAAAGTTTACAGAAAGTCAACACAGTTCCTACCACATTCTTTTATCCTCACTATAGTTTGTTAGTGATTTCATTAGATGCTCCTATTTGATTAGTTTTTTGGGCATTTTGCTCTTTCTTGTTTCTGATGTGTTTCCTTCTGTGTCTTCATAGTCTTAGAGTTTCATTTTGGTTATTAGCCCATTTGCCTCTCACTTAAGCATTTCTTCTTTGGTGTTTTAACTATTTTCATGCTCCTTAAGCTATTTAGACTTTTGATTAAACAAATAAATACCCTAACCTACATGAAAGTATTTGCACAGATAGATGCTCACAGATGTATATAATTTTAAAAATGCTTTTATATATTATTTAGTATATAAAAATGCTTTTATATATTATTTTAAAATAAATGACACTAGTTTAAGGTTATACTTAAAGACATTTCAAGCTTACGTTAAAAAACTGAATACTTGAACACATACAATTTTGTAAGGACTATCAACTTCATATCTGTTAAGGTAAACACTTGTGAATTAATAGGTGTGGTTTTTACATGATCACAGGGTGCTTGATCATTCATTGGCTAGGGTTATCACATAAAAAGCTACTTCAGGCTACCTGACCCTTTTAAAACAAAAAATGTGTGTGTGTGTGTGTGTGTGTGT